AATTTATGAATTTTAGAAAATAAAGAAAAAATGATAGAGAAAAATTAAAAAGAAAAGAAAATGAAGAAAGAAGAACCGACGAAAAAACATGTATGTAATCACACCACGTGAGGTGGTCGGGTGATTATCGGGTCGATCACTGAACTCAGGAAAAAAAGTGAAATGGGCAAGCCCAGCATGACGAGAGTGTGTGCGCCGTTGGAAAATAGCGAATAAACGGGCGGACGCCGTTCAGGAGACACCCCTAGAGGGGCTAGACCGGAGGTCCTGTTTGCCGCGTTCTGCGGCAAATACAAGCCCCATTGCACATGATGCGCCACTTGGCCCATTCAGTCCACCGCCAATACGAGGGTGAAAAATGGCAAAAACGGCTGCTCGCGGTGGCTAGGAGTCATACACAATACTCCGTACTTGCGTGAGCTCTTTACTAACCACTACGATGGAACAGCTCTATGGACAGATAAACAACGGAACACTAAAAGAATAACCACAGTATCAGACTTAACACTGTTTGACAAAATCCTGAATTTTTTTCCCAAATCTTGAGTAATTGTTTGAATGTATGAACATTTTTTCACAAATGCAAACAATTTTATGAAATCGAACAAATTTTTAATTTCCCGGGATTTTTTAAAATATGGACATTTTTCGAATTTTTAAACAATTTTAAAAACACTACCATTTTTTGAATTTTGAGAAAAAAATTGAAATGAAGAAAAATTCAAAAATACCCAACAAATTTGGAAGCAAGGAATTTTTTTAAAATATGAACAAAAATTCAAAATCCAGAACATGTTTTGTAATCTTTGAATTATTTTGTAAAACATGAACATTTTATGCAAACCCTGAACATTTTTACGAAAAATCCAAACATTTTTGGAAACACCAACAATTTTTTAATATTTTTGAAAAAAGTAAAACAAATGATAAATGAAATAAAAAACTAAAAAAGGAAAAGAAACAGAAAAAATGGAGAAAAAAGACAAGGAAGAAAGAAATAGAAATAAAATAAGAAATAAAAAAGAAAACCATAAAAACCGTTTCAAGAACCTTCTAGAAGGTTGCCACAACTGGCCAGGAACCATCAAGAAGGTTCTCAAAACCGGGAAAATGATTCCATGTAAAAAAGAGCTAACTGGGCTTTGCCCATGTACATGTGCGATAGGTCAACAACTTGCCGCATGATGCAGCAAATAGGGTTTTCCAAGCTAGACCTTGCCCCTTTAATTCGGAAGAAAAAAAATGTTTTGGTCCGACTGAGCGAAACGAGCCAAAACAGGATCGGACCGAACGTGTTTTCAAGCCTATTTATCCAGACCGGACCGACAGCTTTTTTATCTGGCTTACAAAATTCAGTCTGGTCAGAGCCGGTACATTAGGTACGTCCAACCTGATCTACGGCGATCGGTCGCAGGTCATGAATAACTAGAGCACGCCTAAAAAAAAAATTACGCGAATCAACCTGTGGTTGAGATGGTTAGGTGGACTACAAGGCGCCTACAGTGGCTTCGTAAAATCTCAGATGATATGCCGGCTCAGTCTTTCGGAGTAGTTCATAGGAGTAGTGTGTGTGTGTGCGTTCATACTTCATAAAGATGAGCGTGCGCGTTTATATGAGCGCTTACATCTATATTGTGTTCGAAAAAAAAAGAATTACTGGAGCTCGTCACGGGGCTGCGGCTGTGGACATGACGCTGGTAGACTGGGTGGTGTCCACCATCCAGATCAGCGAGCTCAGGGAGATGTCTGTCTCCTTCCTGCTAATATCTCCACGTACCCTCGATCAATCGCTTGAACAAGCTACATGATCCACCGTCATATAACATTCTTTCTAATTAGCCAACTGCGGTGTTTGTATGTGTGGTAAATTGTAAGTGTTCGACGAAATACATAAGTCAAATGTAAGCTGTAGGAAGTTCTTGTTTAGGGGTTTAGCTAGGAACCGCTCTTTTTTAGCGGAGCAAATGTAAAGTGTCAAGTATAAGGGGCCATTTGAGGGGCTAAGTTATACGGATCGGTTAGAGTTGCTCTTATCAGAGCAATGGGACAGGCAAAGCGGAAACCCCCGTTAGCCATCCTTCAAATGACGATGTAAGTCTGGCCTCCATCGTCCAGAATTTCTCTAGAATACCACCCATTGTGTCTTTTTCCCATCTTACTAACGCGACAGGCTAGACACACCTTGCATCAACTATAATTAAAAAATGATTGTGTGCAGCGTAATGATGCATAGACTGGGGGTTTTAACCTTCTTTTCAAAAAAGAAAAAGAAAAATGGGTTGCAAGACGGATCAGTAGAGGTGTCGTGTGCATTAGGACAGCGTTTTTTACGATGCAGGTTTTCTCGCTGAAATTCGCTATAACTCCATATCAACAGCGGCGTGGGTCAACTACATGGGATGGGTTATGGGTACATACATAGCAGTGCAAGATTATTTGGATCCATTCATCCATTGCTTAATTGTACTATTATCAACCGTGGTAGGGATTAGCAAACCAACATGTGATTGGATGGTTTGAGGGACTGTGGTATCCTCAGCCCATCAGGGTTCAAATCCTGGTGCTCGCATTTATTCCTGAATTAAGGAGATGCCCACGGTGACTTTGTAAATTTCAAAATGATATGCTATATGAGCGCTTGTGTCTGTACTGATGTTTAAAAAAAACCGTAGCAGGGATTATTATTGCGTGACAAATTAAGGGTCTCTCACTGAGACGAGGCATCTCAGTGATTCACTCTTCTGTTTGAGTTTGAATATGAAGAGCAAGAACAAGATGATCTACAGTTAACTGACACGGTGTGATGGACTACAGTTACGTAACCACACCTGCCTGTCCATTCAACAGACGTCAGCATATTTTCTTTTCTTTTCAGTTTTACCTCGCACTGGATATGTACTCCCTTCATCCGAAAATACTTGTCATCAAAATGGATAAAAAGAAATGTATCTAAAAATCCATTTTGATGACAAGTATTTTCGGACGGAGGGAGTATCTTGCTGGCAGTTGGCACTGGATGGATAATGGTTTTATGCTGAAATTGGGCACTGCCGTGCGCCTCCCCTGTTTCAGTGAGCAGCAGACAAATGTTTTTATCTATGTCCAGTACTATAGAAAAAGGAAAAAGAAAAACATGGTGCTGACTGCTGAACCCATTCTTCACACTGAATACATCATTGCTATCCACTCGACGACGCCGCATAACATAAGAGAACCTTCGCCCACAAACATTTTTCCACAACCTGATACAGTATACTACACTATTACAAAACCATATGGGTTCTTCCACAGGACAGGATAAAGAGATGGATGTCATCCTCCTGCCAGGGTAGGATAAAGTTCAGAGCATAGACAGAGCTTCATATGTTGTTGTTGATACGGTGTCAGGCGGTTCTTCATTTTCCAGCACCCCAGGCTTGCTGCACCCCTTCAGTCCTATTGATTGATTATGTCCGCCCAACAGGCCACCATCCCAACGGAAACTTCGTCCATTACTTGCTGGAACAACCCCACCTGTTTATGGCTTTCTGCTTGGTTCCTTGCCTGCGATAAAGACCACAGGTTGAGCCAATATCCAGTTTATATGCCATCAATTTGTTTGTTTCTAGTTGGCCACGAGATCCACAGTTAACACTATTTTCCCCCCAACCTGTATGCTACAGGCCCTAATCATGTCAGTTTCAGTCCTAAACAACTGCAAAGAGAAATGTAGATGAAGTTGGCAGTGATAACGAATCGCTACTACAACCTACAGTTGCCTTGTAAGGTGCTGACTCGACCAGTCCCCTACAAGTCTAAATACTTATGCCTAGCATCGAACCGAAATAAACCAACTGCTAGGATATAATCCTGATTCACTGATTCAAACATACACTTTCGATGATAATCCTAATCAAATAAATCAAAACTTTAAAAAAAATATAGATAACAGGTAATACAACATGGCACTGTTATTGCTGTTGCTTGAGCCCACGCCCATGCATATACTGACAAAACAATAGTGAGGAACTAGGTAATGGAAAAGGAGGGACCTCAAATGATATTTGCTTTCAGCAACCAGTTTCTCTGTCAGTTCCGTCACAAGGGCTGCAAGGATACAAATGTCATCATGTGTTAGCTAGCATTCAGATAAAAGTAGCTTAAAGAAAACAAATAAAAACAGAGAACTTGACAGTGTGAGCTAGCATACAGATAAATGTAGCTTGAAGAAAACGAATAAAAACAGAGAACTTAACAGAAAACTTCGCAAAACTGCATGTGTTAGCTTATGTTTAAGGAATAAGGAAAATACCAAGATACAAGTGACTGCAACAGAATAAATAGAAGTGAGTTGTGGCGTCAAATAGGATGTACTATTAATGAGCCTTGCAAACTCAAATTACAGTCCACATACGCCAATATAGTTCAATATTATCATAATATCTCCTAAAAATGCATTGATGCCTATTATCTGATCAAATAGCTTGAAAATAAGGTGAAAGTTAGAGGAATTTTATTGATCTCTTCATGGGGAGATGTGTGAACTCTGCATACTCTGTCCAAAAATCCCAACCTCTATGGTACAGGCCCTAACCATGTCAGTCTTGGTCCTAAAGAACTGCAGAGAGGAATGTAGATGAAGTTGGCAGTGATAAGAAATCGCTACTACAACCTACTAGCACTGCTGACTCGACTTGTCCCCTAGCAGTCTAAATACTATGCCTAGCATCAGATCAAAATAAACCAATACCACACCTAAGTCCTAACAAATTACTCGAGTATACTGCAGTACCTTGTAAAGCATTGGATTCTTCATCCATAGCAGAGTTGGTATCTTCCATGATCTGAATATCCTGCCAAGCTCTACCTGAATCTGTCATGTATGCTTCTGAATTAAATTTAAGGAACAATATATTACAAACACACTAACACCATGGTAGTGTGATTTTTTGGATAAAGTAGTACCCATGAATACGTACCATGGAGAACCAATTGGGCATGCATGTACAGGTATAAGTGTGCTAACACATCAATGACTTGAGTGAGCGAGCTTTCACAGGCTTCCTCCACCTCTTCTTAAACGGGCTCTTCCTCTTGATGTTGCCGTTGACGCCAACAACCCGGGGTTCATCGTTGCAGCCAAGTGCGTCGTCGCTGCTCTCCTCGTCGCCGCCCGCAATCCCGGCCAACTCATCACACCTAGGCTCATCAACGCGTGCTGATGCCGCTTGATGGTCTGCATCAACAGTTTGGGCTGGACCTGCAGTATGCTCTTCAGGCAGTGCCTCCTCCTCTTGCTCATCAGGTAAAGATTCCAGTACATTGCTGCTTGATCTCTGCCTCTTGCTGAGGGACGGGCCGAACCCGGCGTAGTATAAGTACCCCTCACCTGCATCGACACGCCTCCTCTTACGTGGCTTGGCGCTGCTGGAGGGTTTGGAGGCCGCTGATGAAGTCGGCGGCAGCGCAGACTTAAGATCTGAGTGATATATGCAAAAGGAATCAGGCTGGCTCACCGGCCGGCGGCAAAACCTCCTCTTGCCGTCATTCTTCTTGCACACCCAAAGTTCTCCTCCTCCGTCAGCCACGAAATCGTTGTCATCACTCTGAACCTCAGTGGTCTTCTTATGCCCCCACGCATTCTTCTCACCCCCTCTGTTTTCCATGACTGTCCTCTTCTTCTTGGCAACCTTCTGCCGCCGTTTGGCAAAGACCTCGTCAGCCATATCTCCTGCCATGTCCTCCCCCTTCCCCTCCCCTTCTTCCTCCCCCTTGATGGAGGCGGCAAGAATGCTGGCCTGGAAGAGCCAGCTCGTCCGGCATGGGACACTGACGAAGTATTTCCCCATGAAGTGTTCCACCTCCTGAAGAATGAAAAATCAAAAGTGCAGGTTAGTCAAAAGTGCAGAGCGCAAATATGTTTCCCCTCCCCCAGCTGCCTGCCTACTGTGCTGAAATGGAGCGTGGATCTTGTCAGGTTCAATCCGGCCGGCCGGACGCCGTCTCCGCGACCCCAACCCGTAGCGGCGGCCATCTCCGCGGTTCGAACCCCAACCCGTAGCGGGGCCCATCTCCGCGACCTCAACCCATAGCGGCGGCAATCTCCGCGACCCCAACCCGTGGCGGCGGCCATTTCGACGATTCCAACCCCTAGCGGCGCCGCCGGCCACAAATTACAAGGAGGGAACGGTAGCTAACGCGCGCTAGAGATCAACCCCACCACCGGGCACGCGGCACGCCCACCCGAAGCCGCAGAGGAACCCTAGTGACATGCACGAACCAGACGGCGCGGGCGGCGAGAACCGGACGGGACCTCTGCCGGAGAGGCGGGCTAGGGGCGCGGACGCCACACGGAGCAGAGTGAGCTAGGGGCGCGGACGCCACGCGGAGGAGAGCGTGTAGGGAGGGAGGTAGGTGGTGCTGACCTTGGGATCGGAGGGGTCGAGCTGGGCCATGAGCTCCCACGGCGACCGGCTGAGCTCGCACCGCTCCGCGGAGGAGGTCCCCCCGCCCCCGGCCGTGAACCCGTCGCCCCCCGCGTGGGAGGAACAGGGCTCCAGCACTGGCGGCGGCGGGGGCGGGGGCGGGGGCGGGGGCGGAAGCGGGAGGTCTGGTTGCGGCGGCGCGGGGGCGGAGTAGGCGGAGCCGAGCAGGCGGGCGGCAGACCTGCGGATCCGCATGGCAGCGCGGGGAGGGATCTGGGCTGGGGGCCGGGGGCGCTGGCTAGGGTTCGGGATTTGGGCTGGGGCGGCGGCACGAGATGGATCAGAAGAGGTCGAGACGAAGGTGAGAGTGTGAGTGGGTCGGGCGAGGTGGTGTCTGTTTATACTATTTGCTTGGGCCGACCTAGCTAGCTACCCTTCTCCCTCCCTTCCTCCATCCCTGCCCCGAGCCGCCTCCGCCTCCGCGGCGCGTGCACGCCGGCCTGCCCCTGCCGCGATCTCCATCCTCGACTTGGTCGCCGGCCGCCCCCGGTCTGGCCCCTGTGCCACCTCCGGCCGCCACGCAGTCCGTCGACGGAGCTCTCTTCCGGCCCCGTCCGTCTCTCTGCTCTCAAGCTCTCGGCCGGCGCCTGTCTCGAGAAGCCGAGAGGGTCCTCCGCGCGCGCGCTCGGCCGGCAAGGCGCCGTCACGACCGTGCCGCACGCTAGCTCGCTCGATCGCTCTCCCGCCAAGCTCTACGCCTCTAACCCTCGAGCGTGCTCCCGCCGCCGCCAGAGGGTGCCGGCCGGGCTAGCCGCGTCCCCCGCGCTCTTCACCTGCTGCGACATGCTACCTCCTAGTCCTAGCCACCTAGCCATATATAGGGTCGCCGGGGAGCTATCTCGTGGCCGCGCATCAGCGTCCGTCCCGCCGCGCGCTCCAGCGACATACGGACGGCGGCCCTGGTTCGACCCGGCTCGGCTGCATCGCGCACTTGGCAAGCATGCTCGTTGCCGCGCGGCCGCCGGCGGTGATAGCTGGGAATGTCTTGACTTCTGAATGTCACCTGCTGATCGATCGGATTGCTAATGATCCACTACTAGCTAGCTAGCTCACTCGAGCTGGCTGTGTCCGTGCTGCCATTTTGAGAGTCTAATTAGGGCTAGCTACGTGCTTCCATGATATCTGCCCTAAGAAAGTAGCACACATCCATAATCTGGTCAAAATTACTGAACGATGGAAAGCACATGTGTGGATCCTTTGGTGAATTAATTGAAACTTGGATGTCCATTCAGGGCTTACCCGCTTAGTGGTATGGTGCACCTGGAAAGTTTTTGATCAAGTGGCCTCTTGTTTTGGTATTTTAACTGATGTTGATTGAAATGGCATGTTCACAAAAAAAGATTGTGGGAGTTAAGGTTGCTTGCAGAGACCCTTGTAAAATCCCCTTTCAACATTGATGGAAATGAAGAAGAAAAAATTTATGTTATCCTAAAAGGTGGAGGGCTTTGAGCAAATTGGTGATATTGATATGATGATCTGGATGAGGACATTGAGAATGAAGATGTTGACATAGAATTAACTGAGAGAGACAAGATGTCCATGGGAGTCACTGAGTTGGGAGAAGATGAGAAAGCTATAGATGAGCTTGATGTTGCAAATAGATCCATTACCTCTAAAGAGAAGAGTGCTTCACATTTCTCCATGCCTGCAATTTATATTCATTCTCATTTCTTGTCTGATGATATGCAATTATGCATGACCACTATTAGAAAAAGGGTCAAACGTGAAGCACATTAGTGCCGGTTTGAATTTGAGCCGGCACTAATGGTACCATTAATGCCGGTTCGAACGGCTATGCATTAATGTCGGTTCGTGTTGAACCTTTAGTACCGGTTCGTGCCACGAACCGGTACTAAAGGGGTGATGGCAGGCTGGCGTCAGGCCGGGGCCCCACGATCACCTTTAGTACCGGTTCGTGTCACAAACCGGTACTAAAGGGGTCTGACCT